CAAACGCATCTCTGGCTGCCATTATCACGTTTCTTTTAGAACGAACTGACTTAACGCGCGTTTTGTATATTTTAAAGGTGTGAATTTGCAAAAGCTCAATATGGTGATTATATTGCTTTAAATATTTTTTTTAATACGAAACTGTTATTAAATGAATTGCTTCGTTACTTACCATAAATTGAAATATAAAATATAACACATTTTTCGCGATGTACCGTAAGATTTTAAGATGTTTACAGGAACAGACAATATTTTATTAAAGAAACAAAAAAAAAAACAAAACATATGTGCTGACCTAGAAGTGTGAATAATATCAATATTTAAATATTGTTATCACATCTAAATTGATATTTTGTAAGTTACGCCTTTTGACACTCGGCTCATATCTGAGGTCATTGTCCGTTTTACTCAATCGATTTGGCACATACTGTAGTATTTATGAGCCGTGGTAGCTCAGATGATTAACGCTCGCTGTAAATATAACAGAACGCGAGTAACCCGGGTTCGATCACCGCCAGCACCAATGAAATTGTTAATTGTAATTATATTATTATGTCTCGGCTGAAGGAAAACATCGTGAGGAAACATGCATGTCTGAGGAATAAGAAAAAAAATTTCGAAGACATGTGAAGTTCGACAACACGCATTGGGGCAGCGCGGCGGACACTTTCTTGCCCTAAAACCCTCTCAGAAATAGGAGGAATCCTGTGCTCAGCATTGAGACGTATATAGGCTGTAACTTTACTTTTACTTTTATAGTATTTATTGCTTTGATACTGATACTTTGTCTTATAATCTTGAGTGACAATCGTCATCGACTATCCGCTGGGTTAAGCTGTCTTCAAAATTTCTCAAAAATTTCAATGTAAAGGAAAAAAATTATAAAAATGAAGATCTGGAAAATATATGGCTTTAAAAACAAGCATTGAAGCAAAAAGTCTGATTTTTTTAAAGGCAACGATTTGCCCACAAACAAGGGCATCGAGAAGCGCTCCCTTTCTATGAACACGTCCTGGTGCGATAGTAAGGTCCCGGATTCAATTCCGGGAATATTGACCCCGAAAATTTGAATGCGAGATTAACGATAGGTGTTCTAGATTGAAACAAACGGTGGACCGTATATGCGTAGTTAAATATGGCTAATGTGGCATTTGGCAGGCTTTTCATATCATGCACACACAATGATCTAATTAACCATATCTAGCCGTTACATTTACACGGGAACAAAATATGGGCTGCTAAGAAAACAGACACAACAAAAGACGGAAGGAGGCAGCGGACGTCCTTTTATACTCTCGGCCGTCTCCACTTCCATCTAGGCGAGTCGCTCTTTTTCACTGGCGGCAAAAATTACGCCACTTTTTTAATCTCCTTCCCCCCCCCCCACCCTCAGTGCGTGCGAAAAGGAATACGGATGGGATTGGAGAATGTACCGACTAATTACTAACTAACGCAACAAACATGCGTGAGTATTCATTTACCGCGCCACCAGGTCATTACGGCTCCGAACTTTTGCCGTAATCGAGTACCATACTTGCGGTTCTTTTCTTTCTTTTAGGCTGGAGGCTACTTTCAATCAATGCGAATAACGATATTATAATCATATTTATATTCATAAATAAAACGGTTTATTGCAAATGGCAGGTTTTATTCATTAGTTTTAAAGTCTTTTCAAGTCTTTTGGTAACAATCATTTCTGAGTAATGTGGATTAAATCTAAATATTATAAATAATCAGTTCTCTTTATTTGATTAACTTAAAGTACTTTTATTAGTAATTATTCACGTAATACTTGCGACAGTTTCTTTCTAATTAAATATAAAATAAATTAAGCATCTCACTTACTAGGAACATTCATTTTACATTTACACGTAAATAGTAAATTTCACAATACTCACATTTTAATATCAATGAACATAAAAATAATATAGAATAGAAATTCTACTCTATCATACATTCTATCATAGAATATACTTTACGGATATTGTTATTATAACAAAAGATTAATCAGCTCACTTGTAAAAAAAAGTTTTAACTAAACGTTACTTCCTAATTTTACTCAATTATTTGAGTAAAATTAGGAAGTAACGTTAAGTAAAAAGAACACAAAATACTAATGCATGCAAAGTTTTGTCACTCGAAGACGAGCGCAGCCTATTGCAGACTATGCCAGCTGAAGAAAATATACGCTCCGGCTCTACACTGGTTGGCGAAATAGTTTTTAAATATTCATAGGGGTTTTTGGTGGAAACTTGGCCGTCGACTGATTATCGACACTCTCTGTTTTGTCGCTTGAATAATGGTTCGAAGTGGATTTTGTTTCTGCGCTTTTTGATTTTGTTTAAGTGTCTGCGCGTGTGAACTATTAGAGAAAACGACCAAACAAGTGCTTTTATGTTGACCTTAAGTTATTTTGATCGCTTGGCCTTATGAACTTGATTGGTTGTCGTCATCAACTATCCGATGGGGTGAGCTGTGGCCAAAATCTGCCAAAACTTCGCATTGTGACGCATCAGCATATTGTGAAGAACAATTATATAAAAACGAAGATTACGAAAGAAATAATAGGCTCAGAAGAGCTAGAACCCAGAGTCGCAAAGCCAGTTAAATAAAAAAATATATTCATAAGCTATTTATTATGAAGTGTAGAAGTAAGGAGTACCAACTCCCATAGTAGAATAGTTGAAAAAGTGGCCATCTGTAAGCAGTAAATAACAGTTCAAAAACTCTCCACTACAGCGCTGGAGTAGCTACTGGGATGAAATGAACTTAGCAATTGTCGACGGTTTAAGTGTGCTGCTAAATTGATAGTAGCCTTTAAATCTAAAATAATTTTATTTAGTAAATATAACCCCGAAAAAGTCGTCTATCCCGCTAATATTTTTCGGTGCGTTCTTTAAAATTTACCCCGTAGCTATAGTGGCGCCACACTTATTTAATGGTTTTCTATGGACACTTTTTAATACACAGTCTGCACTCCTTACTTCTACACTCTATACTAATGATAAGTGGTACCTTTGCCCACCGTTTTCAAATAGAGCCATTTTAACCCTTACATCGATAACTAACAAAACATTTATTAGTGATCGATGCCTTACAGTAGCAATTAAGTCATTTTCTTGATCTGTCGATTCAGTAGCTATATCAACAGCATTACACAACTCTCTTCTACGTTCCTCTTCATTTGTTAGGGGAGATTCGTATCATTTAACGTCCTGCAGATCTTCCAACTTACTGCAGAATTTTCAAATTAAAAAAAAAATATATAGCTATCAATCACTGATCGTTTAGTAAAAATATACTAATAAAAAAACAATCATTTAAACAAATCCTTACCTCTACACCAAGGAACATACTACAATCTTAAACTTTTTTTTAACACTAAACTCCATGTAATGTAGTGTAGAGGTAAGGAGTACAGACTTTGTATAATAAAGTGTTCGTAGTAAAGCGTTAAATAGGGGTGGCGCCACTGCAGCTACAGTATAAATTTTAAAGATCTTTTTATAATTTTCTTTCACGAAAATTCTTTTTTTAATTATTATTTTATTGCTTTCAAAATTTTTATTTCCAAAATCACTCTCAACGTATTTTACGGCGATTGATCATACCATGTAGGTACTCGAGCGCTGTAGTGGAGAGTTTATGAACTGTAATTTACTACTTACAGATTGACACATTTTCAACTATTCTCCTATGTATCCAGCTCAAAAAGGCTAGAACCCAGAGCAGTAAAGCCAGTTAATAAAAAAATAGATCTATATTTTACATCCATAGATTAGGGTTGACATTAGGGATGATCGATGTTAGAGAAACATCGATTATGACATCGATGTTGATATCGATAGCTTTACATCTATGTTCGATGTTTATCCTACTCAAAACATCGATGTTTGCCATGTATTTAGTAGGTTAAAATTAGATGTACAAAAAATTTGTATTGTCGTTTATGGTTTATTATTTACTTATGAAATTAAAGACATTAATAACACATTCATTGTGAAACAGTAATTTAAAAAATGGGAAAAACTTAACAAATATTTAGTTAATTTGTTATATTTTTTGCTGATAATGATGAATATTATTATTTTGATATTTAAATATTCCTATACAATTATAAATCTGGTATTAAAATATTTACTCTACTAATTTACGATTTAGACATAGGTTTTATATTAACTACTCCCATCGCGAAATAAAAAATGATTATAGAGGAGAAATTAACAAACTTCACAAAAACAAAATAATAGACTTTTCAGTCACCTTTGGTCACACAATTTTTAATCAGGCAGCCCAGGCAGTAAGTATCCACAGCCGTTTATAAAATGTAGAATGTACTTTGCAGTGAAATTGTCTATGCTCACGATTGCCCAATGATTTATTCCGATAAACTTCAAACAAACCATAAACTTGTTATTCCAAGTTAATAAAAACAGCTAAATATAATTAAATTGTGTAGATACATATTGTTTCAAAATTATGTGTGTATAGAGAGCAAGGAAAAAAAACAATTAATTTGAATATCAATTTATGGAGAATAGTTATTAGGCGACAGCCGATAACGACACCACAATAACAAAGCGAAAGCAGTTACAACAGTGACATTACAGTTCACACTCGACGGGGAGTTTGACACAACATAATGATAGTTTTTTAGGTGATCGATGCATTTAGGAATCCTTAATTATTCAAAGTTTTAAACCTTTAATATGAGATGAAATATTTAGGTGATACTTATTTCGCGGGTTCGCATTGTTCACTAGTTCTTATTAATCGATTATTGGTTCATTGTCATCGATGTTTGACATGTGGCAACATCGATGTTTCGATGTTTAACGTGTGAAATTGAAACATCGATGTTTAAACATCGATGTTTCAATTTCTAACATCGATAATCATCGAACATCGATGATCATCGAACATCCCTATTTGACATCGTTTTTATTTTTGGTGTTTAGAGGTTAGTTTTTCTCTTTAGATAAAGGTTTAATAATAAAAAAATGAACGAAAACGACATGAAAGAGTTTGCCGAATTAGGCGTTAAAACGTGGCTTATTAAACAACTTTTTACTCTTGGTAAGTATAATTTTTTTGTCTTCATTTCATTAAAATACGTATGTATATGGTAACTATTTGCTAGCTTAAATTATTGTGCATCTTCACAAGTCCAAATAATGTAATAATATTATCATGTAATGAATTGAAATAATCAGTAGTTATTTCTTTTTCGGTTAATGATATGTGCATTGTCAGAGCTTGAATAATGTGTTTGTTTATGAGGCAATTTTTTATATGCCCAGACCAATAAAGAAGTAAAGAAAGAGTCATCTTAAAGGAATCTCGTCGAAATACAGTAACAGAAACAGAAACTTTTTTATTCAATATAGATTATAAACAATACTTATTGAAAGTAACTTTTAATTTACCACTGTTTCACAAAAAACACCTGGGAAAAATCATCAAGAAACCCAGCGGGGCAATTTTTTTTAAATAGTAGCAATCATGTACCGACACAAAACAAATTAGAAACAACTTGGTAGCTATTAACCTTCCCAGGGGTAATTATCATTTATAAATTCCTCAATACTTTTACAGCCGACTGTTTTTGAGCGCGCATTCTCTGGTACGCCAGCCATTTATTAATATATTGTAAGATTTTTAGAAAAATAACTATTGGTGGCTATATGCATATTTTTTTTATTTCTTTTATATATTATCTATTTTAAATATATAATTAAAAAAATATTGTTATAATTGAAAATTAACCTTAAGTAGCGTGCGAAAATGAAAAAAACAAAAACTCTAACATAAATTTATTACCTAATATATCAACCAACGTAATTTGTAATTGTGTGATATTTTTTTTAATAAGAAATAGTTTATTTTCGTCCCCGTTTTCCAGTTACTTTCTTTAATATGTCAGTATAAATTCTGCACACTCTTGCCACTTTTCGTTTTTACGGTGCTCGGTGTAGCGAGCAATGATGCCGCAGCGCAGATGACATAACTTCCTCACACCTACACCCCGCACCGCATTTCGATTAATGATGCATGTATGAGTAGCCAAAGAAACACCCTCGGCCAAGGTTACGCTCCGATGACATACTAAATGTGTGATTTTTTTTAAAACGATATGAAAGCTAATCACATACTCAGTACGTCATCGGCGTCCTGAGGAAAGAGCGTCATCACATACCCAATACGTGATCGGCTGTTAAAGTGTTAATATTATAATAACTCTTTTTATACAAACTTAGTTTAATAAAGTATTTGAACTTTGTGTATGTCAAATTTTGTATATTTTCTGGGATGTTGTTGAAAAAGCGTATACATCGCCCCAAGAATGAATTACTGACTCGGTCGAGTCGAGTAACTGGTACTACTAGCTTGTGTCTGTTCCGAGTATTTACACAACGAATATCACTTATTTTTGCAAAACTACTTTTATTTTTGTGTACGTACATTACATTTTCATAATTTATTGAGAGGCCAGAGTTAATACAATAATCTCCTTAAATTTTTGTCTGTGCAACTCTTTTGGTTTTAAATCATATATTGCTCTAATGGCCCTCTTCTGTAAAACAAATATAATTTTAGTGTCAGTTGCGTATCCTCATAGCAAAATACCATACGACATAATGCTATGGAAATAGCTAAAGTAAACTATTCTAGGTATTTCAACACTGATAAGAGTTTAAATATTTTTTACAGCATATGCTGCAGAACTAAGTCTGCTAGCTAGTTTTGATATATGGGGGAGCCATTAAAGTTTTGCGTCTAGTGTGATTTCAAAAAAAATCGTGGTATCAACAAGACTCAGCTCCTCCCCATTTAAAATTACATTAGTATTAGCATGTTTGACATTCCGAGTTATTTATTTCATACATTTAGTTTTAGTTCCATTTAAATGCAAATTATTAACATTAAACCAATTGACTAACTTAGCTATAGCATTATTTACTTCGTTGTAATTTAATAATTGTCGTTTTAATTTGAAAATTAATGAAGTATCATCAGCAAATAATACATCATAATTAACCCCTACTATGTAAGGTGTCATTAATATATACAAGAAAAAGATACGGGCCGAGAATTCCTTGATGCACGCCCATTTGTACAATCGACCCGGAAAAACTCATACTATTAATGACAATTTTTTGTGTTCTGTTACTTAAATATGAAGTAATTAATTTAAGAGCATCACTTCTTACACCGTAGTGTTGAAGTTTCCTGATTAATGTTTCGTGGAGAACACAATCGAAGGCTTTGGATAGGTTAAAGAATATACCCTAATCATTCTGTGAATTTTCCCATGCATTAAAGATATATTTGATTAGCTCAACACCAGCACCTGATACGTTTAGTAAATACTAGTGTCAGCTTTGTGTGATTCGGTGCAATCTCTTACCCTGTCATATTTACGCATGTGTGCTAGAAAAAATCAAGTATAGTGTTACGAGAACCAACTGCAAGTAAATTTATTTGGTGAGAATTTGGCTCTTCTTTAAATTTACTACCCAAAGCACTTTCAAATGATGACTGTTCGAAAGTATTATTTTAATAATGTAGTACATGTGTACAAAGTTTCAGAACCAGGTAACAATCACAATTTTTCCTTCATTATTCTTGCTTGTTTGATATTAGCATACACATTTGACATGTTGTGAATTGTTGCTTTGGAGGTTGTGTTGGGGTTTTATAAAATTTTAATATTCTTCTATTTGTACTATGCTATTTAAATTAAAAATAATCAATATTGCATTAGTTATGAAGTATATTATATGTTTAAGTTACAACTATTTCCCAGTCAAAAATATTTGTGACCAAAGAAGTTTGGGCAAAAGTTGTTTTGATGTAAAAATACTAGTTTAAGCAGTATTGGACTAAAAATATTGGTTAAAAATAGTTTTGACCAAGACCGGTAGTTTCATTCACCTTTAACCAGGAGTATTTAGTAAACTGTTTAATATTATACAAAATGTTTATCAGCTATCAATTTAAGGACAAATTAGTTTTTCTTAACTAAGCTAGTATTTCGTAAACAATCATGTTGGAAAAAGTAATATTAGCAATAGTAGGTTGAGGTGCAAATTGGGTTGCCCAGCTGAGAACATATGGTTCATCCTGCAGCCATACTAACCAACTTAACCACCAACCTACCAACAAAATATTAACCTACCAACCTCTTTAGCTTAGGATAAACTTGTCCTAATTTTTGGTTTGGCTTGGAGCTGTTTTAGTGCAAATCTCCCCAAACCCAATTTTAGCTCGAATTAGTGTTATATTGGCTGAACTAGTTTTTCAAATCATATAATAAGATAGATATCCTTTATTATTTATATTGGTAATTAAATTAAAATAAAATTAGGTTTAAAAAAAAATGTGTGGACAAAGAATGAATAGGAGCCCATCCATTTTCATTAAATGTGAATTATATAGAGAAAATTTTGAATATGTCATAGGTATAAGAACTCCAACACCTATTCAAAAAGGCTGTATTCCAAATATTCTTGCTGGTGATGACTGCATTGGAGCTGCAAAAACTGGCTCAGGGAAAACTTTTGCATTTGCACTACCAATCCTACAGCACTTAGCTGAAGATCCATATGGAATTTTTGCATTGGTGCTTACTCCCACTCATGAATTGGCATACCAGGTCAGTTATATCTAATATAGATTCTGTTTATTCTTTTTTAAATCTTTTGTTTAGATTTTTGTAACATAAAAATATACATTTTGAAAATATAATCAGTCCACTACCAGCCATAATAACATTACCTTGTTATGTATAGAAAATCACTATTTCTCTCCCAATAAAAGTTTGCCTAATTCTAAGATTCTAATGGTGTGTGATAGTGGTGTCACTAAATATATTATTATAAAGAAGAATAATAGTTTTTCAAAAGATAAACTTAAAATTTTATTCAAAAGAAAATTAAAAAAAAATATAAGTAAATAACTCAAATAGGATAGTTAGGCACAGTACAGTAAAAAAAAATATTTAAAAAAGACCTACTTCCCAGGCCTAAATTATTTCTTAAAAAGTATAAAAAGCATAATTTTATCTCTCCTAGATAGCAGATCAATTCAGTATACTAGGCAAACCTCTCAACCTAAGAGTGTGCATTGTAACAGGAGGATCAGATCAAATGGAAGAGTCATTAAAGCTCGCTAAGAAGCCGCATGTTGTGGTAGCTATGCCAGGGAGGCTAGCAGATCACATTACTGGATGTGACACTTTTAGTTTAAAGAAGATCAAATACTTGGTTTTGGACGAAGCTGACAGGTAATTTTTCATTATAAAGTAGGCAATATTACTACAGACCCACAATTTCATTGACTTATTCCTATGTATAACCTATTTGGGGCAGGCTGCATATTCAAGTATGGCAAAATATACTTGCAAAAAGCATGCACTAATGCAAAAAATCTCTTCTTACAACTCTTGTTCTACTCTACTAGGTATCCTACCACCTCCTTTTCTATGTAGGAGTCTGTCAGCATAGATCTCACTCTCTAAGTTTTTTCTGCTGCTAAGTGGCAGTGCATGATGTGCTGAGTTACGGTATAGAGAGCCAGAATAATTATAGGCTGTGAGGCATTCTATTTTGATCCTCAGTTGTGAAGAACACATCTGTAGGTTTTTTTTAATAGGTTGCAGGTGTCCATAGACTACAGTAGCCACTTACCATCAGGTAGCGTATAAATCTATATGACAATTAATTTTATAAATATTAAAAATTAAAAAAAAAAACTGCTAACCTATCCATGCTATAATTTATTTCGTTGTTTATTTCAGACTTTTCAGTGAATCATTTAAAGAGGATCTGGAAACTATATTTAGTGTATTACCTCAAAAAAGACAGAACCTACTATTTTCTGCAACTATTACAGAGGATGTGAAAGAATCAAAATTACTTCAATTGAATAAGGATGTAAGTGCATGAGTATCTTTACTCTTTTAGTGTGCAAAGGACAATGGTGAAAAATTGTTGATAGAATTATTGAGCGTCTACTTATGACACCATTACAGATATCAGTAAAATAATTTACTATGTTTTATCTCTTCAGGCTTATTGGCCTATCGAAGTCTGGAAAAAATCATCATACATAATTTAAAACTTAATTGACTAGATTAGCCAATTAAGACGGGAAAAGGTCACATACCATACATTCAAGTCTGATGTATATTTTATTCACAAAACTTGAGAAGGAATATACTAGTGCGTTATTTCAGGATTCCCTCTATGTAGTAATTACTTTATATAAGCATATTTGAAAATTATGTTGTAAAATTTATCAATTAAGACAGACAAAGATCTTATGCCATACAGCCTAGTCTGATGTGAATTTTGTTCAGGATTTCAAACTATATTTTGACATATTTTGCATTTATAAATGCAAGAAAAAATGTCTTAAAAATCTGAGGATTTTTGTATAACATGTCTATGGTGTGTTTCTAAAACAAAATCCAGTATATTATTCTTTATAAATGCGTTTGTGTTCCTATTTTTCACACACATTTAAGGTTTTTTTCCATACCTTGTAGTGGCAGTGTAAGAATATTCACTACCCCAAATCATCCCGTGGTATTGTAAGAGTCGACAGAGAGAAACAAATCATGAAATGGGCAACTGTATACTCCTAATAACAACTCATATAATAAAATAACTGTTTTCAACCAACCTGCCAAGCATGGCCCTAATGACAAAAAATTAAAAAAAAAAATGGCCCTAATGGAAAATGTCCTTCCTGTAACGCGGTATGGGGGAGGTCTATGTTCATCTGTGGACTTTTGATAAGCTGTGTTGATTGATCGATTGAAAGTTCTATTCAAAAGTGAATGTTATTGGAAAATATTCTGACATTTAATTAATTGAAAAATATAACATGCATATTATTTTTTTCAATTCTTCATTAGTAAATAGGTTCAGTAATTGCTAAAATTGCTAGTAGACTATTTTTTTCTGACTTAGAGTTGTTTTTATCCCTGAGAATTCATGCGATGTTAAGGAGTCACTTAAGGTAAGGTAAAGCTTTTTAACTTACACTTGCTTTCAGAACCTCACTACCTGGTCAGAGACCGATACCCAGCTTACCGTCACAACCTTGGACCAACGATACGTTGTGTGCCCGGCGTATGCACGCGATGTGTACCTGGTCCAGACTCTACGTAAATACCGAGAGACCAAACCGAGTGCTCATGTTATAGTTTTCACCGATACTAAGAAGTAAGTTCATTTATTTATTTTTACTTTAGTGTCACATTTATTGAAAGTAATCGGTTTGTGCCGTGTCGTGGCGAATTAAGAGAATCGACACTACATATCATCCCGTGGGTTTATTAAGAGGTGACAGAGGGAAATAAAACAGGGAATGGAGAACAGCATCTTCCTGATAAAATCAGAAAATAATTTGAAAACTGCGGTTGCCAACCCACAATATGTTAAGTTCGACAATTTAACCAAAATCTCCCATGCGACAATATGTGGGGAGGAATATAGGCCACATCCAAGGAATGCCATAAAACATGGTTTTAAGCCATCTGCATGCATCAATTACTCAAATTGTACAGACATCTGTAAAATCCGAAATTAATGTTTAGCTCAAAGACATTTCACATTTACTGACTTTTTAATTCCACTGCTGTACATAAGATTTTATAAGAATGTTGCAGTTGGCTTACATTAATTGGATTATTCGCTTTTAATACTGAGTAAGAAGCTTGTTTATAGTAAGGATATTCTCGGTCTGACAATACTATTGCCCATCACAATCTATGAAATTGTCCTTCACTATGTTTCATTAGATTTTCCACCAGCCATTTGTCCCTCCATCGACAACTTGTACTGTGTGATGTGTGGTTGACTTGGTTTTTGATTATTAGGAATTAGTTCTATCCTATCCTATCACCAGTGTGTACTTTTTTTCCTATAGTGTTTCAGATTCTCTTATACTGATACCATATGGCAATGGTTTGGATCATACGTAAATTATTAATTTTTAGTGTGGTCTATGTAGAATGGGGTTTTAGTATCCAATAACTGGCATAAAATACTACAACCTTTTCTGTTTATTTATTAATAAGTTTGTCTCATATTTAGCTGCAAGCTTGAGAGAATTAATAAACATAAACACTCACGCCTGTCACCCAGTGGGGTAGGCAGAGACTACAGACTTCCATTTAGCACGATCCTGACATACTTTTCTCGTCGGTTAAGGGTTAATTGTTTTATTTTTAATTTTTTTTTGTTTTAAAAAAAATTAGTAATCCTATTAATTAACATTACTAATATTCCCTTTAACCACTCCTGGTAAGCTGAAAATGCTTGTGTTAGGAGTGGTTCACGACAGTAGTCGAATGGTGGATTCGAACCCGCGACCTTTTGAGTTCGCGGTCCGCGCCCTGCCACGAGGCTACTGTCGCTTCATAGTATCCACTACCCCATTTTGATAATACCAAGATATACCAAGATAAATAGGCAGATTTGGCCCATTTTTAGTATATCGCCAATTTGCTCGACAAACTTCCGCCTAGGACGTCCCTTTCCGACTCTTCCATTCACTTCTGCAACATATATTTGCTTTGTCAGTCTTTCCGCATTCATTCTTTCTACATGACTAAACCACCGAAGCAATCCTTTCTTAATCCTGGTCACCGCATCATCTTGCAAACCACACTCTTATTAGAATTAATTAGGAAAGTCTTGAGAAATTGATAGGTTGTGGCATAAGTATCCCGTATCTTAATCATATGAAAAAACATACTTGCAATCACCATAATCCCAGTATGGTGATTGCAAGTAGCCTCAAAGGTGAAAAACGCCTTTTTTATACAATAAGCGTAACAAACAAGCGCACAGTAGAGTGTGTACAGTGCACAGTGGTATAGCCATGCTGTAGCTATATTACTGGTATAGTTGTAGAATGAATGGGTCGGATCGACCGGGGAAGGACCACACTCTCACGGAATACCAGCATAAGTAGCAGCTTAACCCTGCTATACACTTTACTTAAAACGAGGCATTCCGTCTTAGTCCTCACGGTTAGTTAAGTTAGTTAAAGTTACACAGCCTATATACGTCCCACTGCTGGGCTCAGGCCTCCCCTCATTTCTGAGAGGGTTTAGGGCAAGGAAGTGTTCGCCGCGCAGCCCCAATGCGTGTTGGCGTACTTCACATGTCTTCGAAATATTTTTTTTTCTTATTCCTCAGACATGCAGGTTTCCTCACGATGTTTTCCTTCACCGCCGAGCACGTGGTAAATCAGCACTTAAAATTGCAATTAACAATTTCATTGGTGCCGGCGGGGATCGAACCCGGGTTACTCGCGTTCTGTTATATTTACAGCGAGCGTTAACCACTGAGCTACCACGGCTCTTTGTCCTCACGGGTGACAACGCATCTGTATTTTGATACGTAATCGACGGTAGGTGTAGATGTCTATGGGCCACAGCAAACACTTACCAATAAGAGTACTGTATGCTTATCACACGTATCCTATAAAAAATAAAAATAAACAGTCTACCTGAAGATAAATAGGCAGAGGCCCATAGTACCTACATCTATCCTCGATTAAGAATCAGAATGCAGATGCATTGTCACCCTTGAAGACTGAGATGAAATGCATCATTTCCAATGAAAAGTGTCTCCGGTTCTCTACACTTACCATATGAAACACTGCAGCATTGAGCTGTTATATTACGCTGGTCTTCTGTGAGAGCGTGGTCCCACCCCTGTCGAGCCCACCTATTTGTCCTACGACTATGATATAGCTGCGGCATGACTTTACCATATATACTTGCTTACAGCCACTTACAGTTTATCAAAAGTCTACTGCTGAAGATAGGCTTCTCCCATAGGATAAGGGGGTATATTTGTCATAGTTTCTCCTAGTTTGTTTCCCTCTCTCGTTTCATACGACGACATGGGGTAGTGGATACTCTTTCACTGCCACTACACGGTACTGAAAAGAACTTTAAATGTGTAAATCACAAGCATATTCATAAAAAATAATGATCTAGATTTTGTTTTTGGGTAAAACAACACCCACACAATATGGTGGTGTAACGCCACTATACGGTAACGGTCGTTGCAGGGAGTGCCAAGTGCTGTCGATGATGCTAAACGCCATCGGCATGGACAACGTGTGCCTGCACGGGTTCATGCGGCAGCGCGAGCGTGCCGCAGCCCTGGCGCAGTTCCGCAGCAACCTCAAGTGCACGCTGCTCGCCACTAACGTGGCCGCAAGGGGCCTGGACATACCCTCAGTGCACCTGGTAATCAACCACAAGCTGCCCCTCGAGCCCAAGGAATACATACACAGGTATGTAACATCGAAATACCCTCTGCGCACCTGGTGCTCAACCACAAGCTGCCCCTTGAGCCCAAGAAATAGATACATAGGTATGTATGCGACTGCAAAGAATAACGTGTTACTTGTCTGTTACAAGCCACTGCCGTGTGGTGGCAGTCTATGACACCATCCGAGGGTGTCGGATTTATTTACTTTATATTTCCTTGTAAATGTATAATTAAGTTGATTTAATAGCTTACATATATAATGTTATATTGTGTTGCCAGTGCCCACCAAAATTTGTAATAAACATTGGTATATTTTTTGTCCTTTCTTTCGTAAGAGGCAATTATAGGAAAGACAGAAATACTTACCGAAACATGGCGGTAACCATTTTGTTTAATATACCATACAGCTGCTCTTCACAAGTCCACCACTAAACCCTATATATGGCACAAAATACGGTCTTGAGCCAACTTTGTCCATTGACTTCCTCACTCTAGTAGCCACCTGTCCTACACTTTGCTTACTGATATGAAGCTGCCGCTCAAGAAACCTTCATAAGACCAATGATGAACATCGATCTCTACCAAGATATGCCACTATACATGGTCCTGATCTATATTCATCGACTTCCTGTATGTCTTACCATATCACCACTCCCTCTAGTAGCGGCCCGCCCTATACTTTGGTTTCTGATCGGAGGCTGCCACTCTAGAACCTTTACAAGACCAATGATGAACAACGGCCACCCCCAAGATGTGCAACTATACATAGTCCTGATCTATATCCATCGACTTCCTGTGTGTTACCATGTCGCCACTCTCTAGTAGGGGCCCGTCCTATAGTTTGCTTACTGACTTGCCACTCAAAAACCTTTCTTCCTCGTTTAAAATACCCAGACCGGCAACAGGAAGCAGCGTTACAGGCGCGAGACGCCTGAAATTGCGATTGTCAATCTGCGAGTCAAGCATAACGATTAAAGAAAAGATTCTCTTCAATGGAAGAGGCCCATATCCAGCAGTAGACTTTTATGGGCTGATGATAGTGATGATGATAGCCACTGGATTAGTTTATCAAAAGCTTTATTCATGCTTGCCTCCAATGACATTTATTGTTATTGGATAGAAAAGCAGCTCCAATAGTCGACGATCGAGTTCCCGGTTGATCCGCATGTTCTTTTGCCCTTCCCATGATCTTCTATCTAAAATATTATTATGATTGCGTGGTTTGTTGATAATATATGGGTGTCGATACACCGCTTGTTTAGTTGTCCGATAGTAGAAAGAGAAGGGATAAATCAGGTCATTGCTACGCATATACCACTATACAAGGTGTAAGTGTAAACACCAAAACCATAGGTAGTTGGCTTCAATATAAAAATATTTATCCGAATTTTTTTAAAAAACACTATTTTCTTTCATAAAATTTAAAAAGTATATAAGTATGCGTATGTATAGTATAATGTATGCGCCCGAGTGACGTAATCACTGTAAAGATCAAAGCCCGCGCTAGCTACCTACACAACATTCCAATAAAAACACAATAGGTGCACATAACCAATGATGTAACTTTTCCTTCATACTTTCATCCTGGCTTCGGACAGGCAAAAATTGAGGAATTAAGGAAAAATTGAGATTTTACTAAAAAAAATGTTATTTTTCATTGAATTTACGTTCTATAAGTGAAACCAAACCACTGGTTGCAAGGATAACGGTGTTTACACTAACACCCTGTATAATCCCTCAAATATTTCAGGGTGGGAAGAACAGCAAGAGCTGGGAGAACCGGTATGGCGATATCTTTGATTACTCCATACGATATCCTGCGGCTTGGTGAAATTGAGGACCAGATAAAAACAAAGCTCAGTGAATACAAGATTGATGGTGAGTTGGATTTAAAGTAACAGTGAAGTACCAGTTATGTATGTTATTTAAGATCTATCTTGGCACATTTTATCCACTGCTACTCGGTTGGCCTCTCTAATAGTGACAAGAATTTGCCATAATCACTTGGCTGGCGATAGTAACTTTCTAAACCTTCTTTTCTTCGTCACTTAACTGCGTATTTAAGGTAAGCTAAATATAAAACTGCCCGATATGAAAATCCGCTGCAAATACATAAGCTAAGTACATATAAAACTCCAATGCTGAATGTAGGCCCCCCATTAGATTGCCTCATAAGGAGGTTATATGCCATAGTAGTTAGGAAAAAGCTGCTGCCAATCTGGTTGGTTTCCCTCTGTCGCCTCTTAATCACACCTACGGGACGATGTGGTGGTGAATATTCTTATACCACCACTACACGGTCGAATTCCAAATAAGGATGGGTAAAGTGGAGGGGCAGAATAGTTAAAGATAATATGTACATTGAATTATTTATGTCACCAATATGCGATTACAGAAAGTACGGAAAAATAATGCAATAAATGCTAACTACTTCATTCCCGGGGGTTATTTTCATTTATGTATGTATATATATGATATTATAATAAACCGTTTTGTACAATTTTTGTGTAATAAAACATTTAAACTTGTTTATGGACAAATTTCCTAAAATTAGTTTGAGGTTTACAATTAGACTGTGTTGTGCAGAAATGATCCAACCCACAAACAGGCCACAGGACAACAGGAGCCACCTGCATCCATCAGCTTCCTGCATGTCTTACCAGGTCGTCGAAATAGTACAATCATGAAATACTTCTAAAAATAACAAGTAGTCCCAAAATCTACAATCTTGGCTTCTCACACAAGAGAAATGCATTTATCTTTTAAAGCTGAACTTTATTTTTGTGAGTTGGATAATTTCGGTGCAACATAATCTAATGACCTGCATGATGAGATCCGCAAATTTTTCGACCATCAGGGTGGCTCCACTTAGAAATGAGGCAAAATATTTGACAGATTTTATACCGCGGGAAGTTAAGTTGTTCGATAATGTTTCTTTCTGAAATATTAGTTATATTTTATATTAATTGAATTAGAAATGGATAAACAAAAACAGCGAAAATTCATAGTAGATAAAAATTATAAAAAAAGAAAAATGGTGCAAGAAATTAAAGACAAACCATTGAAGCATTATTTTGTTTATTTACACACTATAAACCTTTCATTAAAACATTCAACATTCATAATGACATTGCGTAACAAATCACTTCTCACTCCGACATCTGGTGAGCGTAAAATGATTAGCTCTCCATTGAACGACGACTTGCGAAAAAACTTAAGAGTGCCCAGTTAACTTTCTCATTGTTTGAAGTCTGCTGAATAAATGCGTATATTTGTGTGGTAACAGACGATGAAGCAGTGAAAGTGTTTACGACGGTGAGCGTGACGCGACGCGAGCAAGAAGCTCAACTCGACAACGAGGAATTTGAGCAGCGCAAGAAGAACTACCGGATCAAGCGCTGGATCATGGCCGGCGTCGACCCGGATCTCATGGAGCAGGGGTGAGTATTATTTATTCTTTTAACTTAAATAAATATATTAAGACGACTAGATATCGGTACACTTTGTTTGTACAACTTTGTACCCCCTTTTAAGTATATTATGCGCACGGCGTGTGAGATTTGATATAGTTAAAGAATCAGGAGTGCAGAAATCCAAAACTTGTATGTTACAAATATATTAATAAAATTAAACATTCGTTGTATACATTCATACTCTCAATGTCAAACACTTCATAGACTGTGGTCCAACGGTCGCATAGAGGAGAGATTGTCGCCAGAGAATTTTAAAATGTTGTCGATAAAATAATTATCTATAAGAAAATTGGCAATAAAAAAATTACTAACAGATTGACCGAATGAGCTGCGATTTTACGATTTCTAGTGTAAGGTACATTTTAAGTTTATGGATGTACGTCTAGGCATAAAAGTTTTTATTTTATTTTATATATTTACGTGCTTACGTTACGTGCTTTTAGCTTGTTGAAAGTGAAATACGAGCTTGCTTATACAAACTTAAAAGTGTAATAAATTACAGTCCCAACTTCGACCGCTGGGCGACCATTTGTATTAATAGAACGATGAACAATGATATTTACAATACATTGGCATACATAAAATTTCTACAGCAATGCTTGTTTTGATAACTCTTAAAATAGTATTTTAATTGACTAGAGCAGTAGCTCCTTGCTATTTTTGGCTTTAACTCGCGTGGGTACCACTTATTGCCTTTATAAATAAAACTATATATATAAAACCATATAAAACCAAAAAAAAATGATAACGAAATTCACATCAGTTATTTAAGTATTAAAAATGAGCATGTTGTACATGTACAATTCGGTGATTATAATATTTGCGCAGTTTTTTTTTTGTAGATTGCTCTTACTTTACTATAGTCAAGAGTATACCTAGATCGATATCTGTGAATGTGAAGGCGTTTCAGGCAACCTCACTTACTTCTGGCAGTACCTATACATACAACTAAATATGAAACATTGGATTAAAGTATCTAATACTCAATTGGGTTTGTTGTGCGTGCATGCGTGCGTGCGTGCGTGCGTAGGCGTGCGTGCGTGCGTGCGTGTGCGCGTGCCTGCGTGCCTGCGTGTCTGTGTGTGTGTGTGTGTGCGTGTGATAAAAATTATTTAGGTAGCTCGAATGCCTGCAAAGCTTGGCGACATAGTAAAACCTCCGAACTATGAGAGTATAATGTACAGTTTTGAAGCAGGTTTTGAACAAGAATGGTTGCTTATAATATGAAGATCATAATTCGAGTAAAATATTATGAAAACTATAAGTATTTTATCACTTGAATGTTTTCCCCCCTAGCACTGCAGTACACACTTTTCCAATTAATTTTCCGGTTGGCTGATAGAAAATGCCATATTATGGCAATAAGTTCGCCGTTTGTGCCTTTAGCACACAACTTTAAAACTTTAACCGATGTTTTTTAACAGATTGGAAGAAATGCGTCGTAAGAAAATAAAAGCAGCCAAAAAAGCGAAGCTCGCCAAAATAAAGCAAATTCAAGCAGAAATTAAGAATACAAAAGAAGATGCGTTAGATGACAGTCGGTTACAACCTCCCTCAACTGAAAACATTGACGACTCCATCAAAGAAGGATTGAAGAAAGTGAACAAGACATTGATGAAGAAAGACGACAGGTTTAAGAACGTCATAGGAAAGATAAGTAAAATTAAGCGTAAAGCGGAGAACGTGAATCAGAAGAGCGTAGAAGAGAATGAGATGAAGAAGAAGAAAAAGAAAAAACTAATTAGTGCTAAATAAATGTTTTTGTTAAATAATTGTTTTATTTTTTCTTATAAAATTTGAGTGACAGTAATTTACAGTCCAACTGATGGTAGATGGTTACTGCAGCCCACGGTCGTAAAACCAACTTCAAATAAAGGCTACTGGTGGTGCAAAGGTGCTGTTATGGTCATTATAGCAGGGAATAGTCGGTGCCTTACCCGATACTTTATTTTTTTATCATAGATATTAGATTTCAAAAAAATTTATCTGAACACTTCAAATTTACGCGGGGCTGGACAGATTTCACAGCGTGTTAATTACCGGCGGTGTTCGATGTTACTCGTAAGCGATTCGAAAACGAATTGAAAAAAAACCGGCCAAGAGCGTGTCGGTCCACGCTCAGTGTAGGGTTCCGTAGTTTCCCGTCCGTCACAATAAGTGTTCCCACTTATGAGTTTAAAGGTGGGTATCCATTATGTCCGCGCTCCCCTGCAACTGCTCCCGGTAGTGGGTACTGTTGTTTCCCTCCAAGTTCAAAATGATTTTCCTATAAAGTCCTTATAAAGTTCTACTTTTCAGATTTTTTTCATATTTTCTAAACTTATGGTTCAAAAGTTAGAGGGGTGGGGACACATTGTTTTTTACTTTTGGAGAGCGATTATTTCCGAAATTATTGACATTATCAAAAAATGATCTTAGTAAACCCCTATTCATTTTTAAATACCTTTCCAACAATTTATCACACGTTAGGGTTTAAATTAAAAAAAAATCACTTCCCACTTTACATATGGGGGGCTACCCTAATAAAACATTTTTTTACAATTTTTATTTTACCACTTTGTCGGCGTGATTGATACACATATTGGGTGCGTTTGGCAGAAAAAAGCGCTAGCAAGCGCTTATAAGCGCTGAAATTGTTTTCGGCCAGGACACGATTGCTACTTCAGTAGCGCTGACACAATCCGCCATTTTGCTTATTTAATTTGTTTGTTTTGAAGTAGAGTTTATAAGTTATTTTGTGCAATATTAGTTTTAAGTAATATAATGACATGAATAAACATATACATGTTATTAAAATTCATGATTGGTAAGTTTTTAATATGTATACTTTACAAACATATATTTAAATTAGGTTAGGTTCCCCGGTTAAAACTAACATCGTGTCCTGGAGGAAAATAGCTACTTACGATTTGACAGCGCTTACCGCTTACGATCGCCATTTTGCTTACAAGCGCTTGCTAGCGCTTTTTTCTGCCAAACGCACCCATTGATACCAAATTTCAGCTTTCTAGTGCTAACAGTCACAGAGATTAAGCGAGGACGGACAGACAGACATGGCGAAACTATAAGGGTAGTTGACTACGGAACCCTAAAAACGGTCGTTGTCTTTTGCATCGATTATTCTAGATGCAGCGCCAGCTATCTTTTTTAACCAACTCTTTAGGATAAGGAGTGGGAAAAGGATGAACATAACTACATGATGATACTTCGATGTAATTGGTGTATTTATTCAATTTTAAATAAGTGCGAAAACTGCGTTAACAGCTACCAATAAGTAGTCAGCATTGAGGACTAAGATGGAACGCCTCACAGCCTGTAATTATAATGACCCTCTTTACCCAAAACCGCCAAATACCAAAACAGCAGTTTATGCACGCATAACAAGATTGATATATCATATTATTATACCTCCTACCTTATTTAACCTATCATCATTCTATCTTAAGCTAACTCTGGTATCTACCCGGATAGTAAAGCGCGCGTTATCAATTTCACAGTAGGTGAGCAACTCGTGTTCGATCCCGCCGACAACAATGAAATTGTTAGTTAAGTACTGATTTACGACGTGCCAGGCGATGAAGAAAAATATGAGAAAATCTGCATATTTGAAGAGTAAAGATATTTCAAGGTCATTTGAAGGTCGCCAATACACTGAAGCAGCTCAGCGGTCTTAATGCTCCATAGCTCTTAGAAATGAGAGGCCCTAGGCCCGTATATAGGCCATAACTCAGAGTGACCCTCAAGTAGAAAAGAAGTGCAACCAAATGGAAAACTGTTTTATTTTATAAATTGTTGGCATGTTAATTCCTTTTGATAAAATCAATATAAATTCTTTTGGCCCTTTATATGCCTAAAAGCTTGACTCATAAAATCGACATCAATGTCATACACATTCATCACCCCTACGATTTTCATGATGTCTTCTCGGATTCCGCCTACATTTTACGGTTGACTCGCCAGGCGAGTCGCCGGCACTGCAATATAAATTGATCGACTCGCCACGCGAGTTCACTGGCACTACGTAAGGGTAAATTCTATGTTTTGTAATTTTTGTGGCCGTCACAGTGTACTTAACGTGTTTACGCAATTAAAAATTGTTTCCGGACTATTCGGCTTGTAAAAATGGCAAAATACTCTGGATAAAATAAAAGGTAAGTTTGTTTCGTAATTTGAGCAGTGGTTGTCAACCTTTTAAATTGTGGTTATTGTTAAGGTTATATTTTGAATTTCTAATACTTGTGAATAGACAATTTTACCCTGAAATAATTTAATACGGGCTTTCAGTTTTAAGAATATGGTATCAGATTAAAATGTATTATTTTAGGTCGGCTTTAGTAATCAGCTGCACGATTTAAGTGACTATTTTAGCTTTAGTTGACAGGCAATGATGCTATTGATTACCATTTAGCTGCTTTTTATGCCGGAAATCTTTATTTTTCGAGATATTGATAATTAAAGTTTTGAGGTTATATCTAGTTGGCTAGACATCCGGTACTTGTTTTTGATTAATTAAATTACATATAACGAAACGCAAATATTATGTCAGTTTGTTTTTTTTAACACAGATACACTCATAAATAAGTTAATCACTCAGACCCAAACAATCCATTTGTGGCTGCAGATGGGACTTATATACTGCAAATTGAGTTGCAGTGGAGAGCAGTCAAGAGGTTTATCAGAAAACAGAATTATAACAATTCACATTACATTATTTCATTCACCACTCTAGTAGCAGAGCTAGTAGAGAGAGCAACTAGACTTTATAGATAAAATAGGTCGAATCGGTTCTAAAACCGAATTAGCACACCCCGACTCCACGTAGTCTTGTCTGCCCTACCCCTAGTGTTTTTGTAAAAATTAAATTAAAATTAATTAAGGTCTGATAACTGGGATTAAAAAGTTATACTTATATAATGATTGAAACGCAAAAGAATCTATGAATGGTTATTAATGAATACTTTATCAATATATTGATTATTTACTTATTTTATTATCTATTACTTAATAATTTACTACTACTACGGACTTCCATTTGGCACGATCCTAATTGTGAAATTCTAATGAAACTAGTTTGTTGTATATTAGTTCCTTTTCCAAGTATGTAGGTAGTCCATGCTACTATGTTCACGTCGTTGTCTAACATGTCAAAGGTTGAGGATCTATGTCAGGGAACTCGCCTAGCGAGTTCAAGGCATTGCAGAATAGTTTGTTTCCTTTCAAATTTAAACGGAGTCTCCACACCCGGCCCACCACGTAAATCTTTAGTTTAGCATATATTTAGTCTAAACTATAATTTTAAGCAGAAAATACGGATGCATTTTGGAAATATTAGTGAAAAACACTGAACTCGCCAGACGAGTCGTCGGCACTGGAATAAGATTTACGTGAACTCTCCGGGCGAGTCGGTGGCCCTGAATGTGTTAAGAACAAACAATGTTGTTTTTTCTTCTTTCACTGAATGACAATAAAAATGGAAGGTGTACAATGCAATACAATACAATACTCTTTATTTTACACCAACAAAACATAAATATAACAAATAATGAACAAACAATGAGGGAAAAACAAAAGGCGGTCTTATTGCTACATAGCAATCTCTTCCAGACAACCCAGAAGAGGAAATTAATAAAAATAAGATTAACGGATAGGATGCACTAAATTAGACATAAAAAAACGACGTATATACTATAAAATGACAACATACTTAAGGTATATTAGTGACCATAACTAAGAGGAGAAAGAGAGAGGAGTTAAAGGGACAAATAGTGTTACTTAATTTGTTTCTTGAACACATTTAAAGATTGAGCGCTTTTAATGGACTGGGGTAAGGAGATCCAGAGTCTTACTCCAAGAACAGCAAAATATTTATCATAAAATGTCGAGGAGTGTACAGGACATTGGAGAGAAAGGTTTTCTTTGGACCGTAAGGAAAAATCGTGACAAGAGCTAAGAAATTTAAAACGTTCTTTTAGATAGGGAGGACTTGATAAATTAAATAAGACGCAGTAGAGCGCAGAAAGTATATGAGTATTCCGACGAAGACGGATTGGGAGCCACTTGAGTTTAGTGCGGTATTCCGAGACATGGTCATATTTACGAAGCCCAAATATGAACCGTACACAGAGATTTTGGAGTCGCTCAAGTTTATTAAGTTGCTCCTCGGTGATATCAAGGTAACAAATGTCAGCATAGTCGAGGATAGGGAATAGCAAAGATTGTGCAAGCGTAATTTTGATGGAAATGGGTTTACTATTTGGGGTGTCCAAGAAAGACTGGAATCCAAAAGGATACCTAAATTTTTAACTACTTCATTATATGGAATAAGGATACCATTAAATACAACGGGTTGAAGTTGACATTTTTTAATTTTGGAAATAGTTCTTGAACTCCCAATAATTATAGCTTGCGATTTTGAAGGGTTAACCGTCAACCCATAAGATCGTGTCCAGTCGAGAATAAAAGCCAGATCCTTGTTGATACATTCAACAGCTTTGGGAAGATCTTCGATGGTTGTTTGTAAATATATTTGAAGGTCATCTGTATACAAGTGGTAGAGAGAAGATATTTGGGATGTAATCGTATTAATAAAGATTGCGAATAAAAGTGGAGATAAGACACCACCTTGTGGAACGCCAGCTACGGTATCAAGCCACGAAGAAAGTCTATCTTGGACACGAATACGTTGGAGATATGTTAAGAGAACGCAGAATCCCTAACGGGATATCATGGTACTGTGACATGATGATTCTCCATAC